ATCAACCTGGGGCCATTTTGTCCTTTTGCAGCCCAAAATTTTATCCCACTGCACCTGGATCTAACTCCCACAGGATGTCCCATTCCATCAGCATCTGGGAAGGAATTGCAAATGAGAGAGGAAAGGGATAAACTTTGAGAGCTGAATATTAGGGAAGGATTAAACAAACCAAACCAGCACCAAGAATTTATTATTGAGAACGGTGAAATTCTCTCGAGGCTCCGCCCTGGGAGCCGTGAGGCGGCGTTGGGTTCATTTCATGGACCCAAAATTCAAAATTCAGCTCCTTGGTTGAGTATTCCTGTGCACAAAGCAGATTCCAAAGGCACTGTTTCCCCCTCCAGAAAAAGAAAAATGTCCCAACCTCGGTAAAAAGGGAAGTGGAAGGGTCAGGACAGCTCTAGGCCAGCGTGAGCAGAGATTTCCTTTCCTGCTCTCTCCCAGATTTTGGAGCACAGAGCGCAGGACAGGGCAGCACAAATTCCTTCTGTCCCTGTCCACGAGGAGAGGAAAAACTGGGACATGGATTCCCTGCCTTGGGGTAAAGAAGATTTTATTTCACAAGGAAAGCAACGGATGCCTCCCAGATTTGCCAAAAAAACCCAGGAGAATCCAAACCCAGGCCACACCAGGAATCAGAGTGGGTGATTTCCCACATAAAGGGATCTTGTGGCTTTCTCCACTCGGGGAATATTCCAAGTTTTGGGAATATTTCTGGTTTTTAGGCAGCCAAATAAACACGGTTTCTGTTTTTTATCGGAACCCCAGCCTGGCTGTGGAGCAGGCAGGAGAATCCGCGGCACAGCACCGACCCTCCCACCAGGAGCAGCTGCAGATTCCCACCCCCCTCACAGGGAATTTTCCAGAAGGAATTCCTGTGGCATCATCTCCCATGGCCAAGATGATGTCACGCCCCAATGGATTATTTTTTTTCTTAACCTCGGATTTGCTGGTGTTGGGAAAAAACCCCTGACTGCCACAAGCCAGAAACATTGGAAGTTAATTAAATAACATTAAAGCTTTGTAAAAACAGGTTCTTATTTCACCACTGAGGGATATTCCCCACAAAACTCCACATTTCCCCCTAATTTAAGGATATATTTCACCAGCAAGAGCTAAGGATAAAATCATTTTCCCCCCCACAGCTTTGGGAATCTGTTTCAGTTATAAATCTGGATTGTTTAATATGGGAAGTGTGTTTAGTTTGAGGGAGAAAAAATATAAATGGATGGGTTAAAAGAAAAGAAAAAAAAAGCCCAACAAACAACCCCTCTAACACTCCCTGGGGTCTGCAGGTCCTTCAACCCAATTTGATGTGAATGAAACCATTATTGTTCTTTTCACTCCCGCTGGGCCGTTATGGAAACGGTTTGCCAGCGATTTCAGGAGCGCTTTCCTACGTTTTTCTCATCATTCCCACCCTCGGTTTCGAGGTTTAAAACAAGTTTTTTGCTGGAAATTTTGCCTCCCCAAAACCCTCGTGATTTTTATGGATCTTTAAATTTTGATTGGCACGCGGTGGGTGTTGGGAATGAATCAAGAGAAAGCCACGTGTCGTTCTTTTTTATTTTTTCTCTTTGTTTTGAAGCATCGGCCGGTTTGAACGGATGAAAACCTGCAGCAGTGAAGACTCAATTAAGCCAAAGGAACTGCACACACCCACTGCCAGAGATCTGCTGCCATAAAAATGCTCCCACCATAATAAAACCTTCAAGAGAAATAAAAAAAAACAAAACCCAAACCAGAAAGGGTTAAAAGGTAATAAAAGGATTATTATCTGGCCTAAGCCAAACCTTTAAGTGATATTTTATTGCATTAAAATATGAGCTTTGATGACTCAGCTGGTGTTTTAAATGCTTCAGAGCCCAAAATGTTAATTTTTAAATGTCCCTCTGCGTGCAGCTGTAAAATAGAGGTTTGCTGTGAAACCCTCTGGAAATAAAGTTCCTTTAAAATAAGTTCCAGAAAATATCTAAGGAATGCCATTCTGGCCCAAAAGCAAGCAATTAATCCCTAAAATCCTTTCTTTTCAACTGCATCTGAATAAACCAGTGGAGGGGTTGATCTTTGGGCTCTTAGAGGCTTCTGTTCCTGTGATAACTCAATTAAACTGAGCAGATAAGTCTCAATTTCTTGGAAAAAAAAACCCCAAAGCTGATGAGCTGCAAGCTCTGGTTTTCATCAGAAGACGCTTCAAGTCGGATTTTATACAGATGTTCCCGGCACAAAATGAGCACCAAACCTCCAGGCCATCAAAGCCCCAAAACCTCCAGGCCATTCAAGCCCCAGAACCCAAAAAGATGAACAAGAATTACAAAAAGCATCCTGATGACAACTCGGTTTCAACACCAAAACTCCCAACGACCGAAAATAAACTCATCAAGCCCCGGTCTTGAGGATGGTTTAAAACAACATCTTTACATCCATTGGAGGTGTCACACAGCCCAGAAACTCCAGGAAAAATCACCAAGCAGCTGATGGGAGCTTTTGATTTCCCAACAACACCCTAAGGCATTATCCAAATAATTTTTTTGAGTAGGAACAGCAGCGCTTTGAGCGAGGAACGACAAGTAACTCTTCCCCAGCCACCCAGCTCAGCTTCCACACCTCCTGCAGGAATTTCTTCCCCTTCTGAGGAAGCTTTTCCCACCCA